AATACACGCAAAAAGAACGGAGGGCTGGCGCCTCCTGTCTGTGCTCAGCTGTGCACGCTGTCTGTGTTTAGAGACGCGACAACAGAGTGGCCTTGTCTCATGTGGGTATTCTGTGTTGGGAAGAAGGACATTGGCTGGGCACCAGTGGTGACTGCCAGACTGTGCCTGGCAACTCCAAGGCCAGCTAGGAAGGCCAGGGCAGCGTAAGTATTTTTCTCAAAGGTCAGTCAAGCTCAATTCTTCACCAGCTGGTAGGTGCTGGGAGAGCATGGCCTGCAAAGTTCAAAGCTGTGTCTCAGGGTGAAGAATGGCAGTGGCGGGTGGGGGTGTGGTACAACGGCTGGAGAGGCAGGGGGTGCGCGGTGGTGGTTCTGCAGAGAATCTGGCAGCATGCAGGGCATTCAGAGAAAAGCATCATGCTGACACAGGCCATCAGGGAGAGCACATTCAAGGGATCTTTCTAGACATGTCTGTGATCGCCTGGAATCTCAGCATTTGCGAAGTGGAGGCAGGAGGATAGCTGCAAGTGAGGCCACCCTGGAACATATAGTGAGTTTCAGGCCATTCAGAGCTACAGAGTGAGACCCTGTCTCAAATAAGTAAACAACCACACACACACACACACACACACACACACACACACACAAAATCCCAGAGTCAGTTGTGGCAGTACACACCTGTCATCCCTGGTCTTAGGAAGAAGGGACAAGACTCTGTAGAGCTCAAGGGCAACCTCAGCTGCTAGCAAGTTCAGGACACCTGCCTCAGGGGCTGGGGAAGTGGCTCAGTTGATAGAGGGTTGGCTATGCACGAACCCAAGTTCAATCCCCTGAGCTTGTAGCTAAAAAGCAGGGTGTGGTGGCATACTTCCAATTCCAGCACCAGGAAGACAGAGACAAAAGGATCCTTGGGACTCTATGTCCAGCTGGCTCCAGGCCAGAGAGAGACCTTATCTCAAAAATAAAGTGGAAGACATGGCTGTCTAGGCTCTACATGTGTGTGTACACATGTGTATCCCCCTCATTGGAGCTCAACCCAAATAAAGGTGCAAGGAATATTCAGAAGGTGTGATCAGTAAGGTCCTGTAAGATGATGACATTTAGGCAGAAGCCCAAGAATCTTGTATGCAAGGTGAGTATAGGCTAATAGGATGAGACACTGTTTCAAACATGAAAGTGAGCAAGAGATATAAGAAAATATGGACAGAAGGTAAAGGCAGAAGCCACGTGGGTATCTAGAGGGAAAGCATTCCAGGCAGAAGGAACAGCTGTGCAAAGGCCCCGGGGCAGAGAGATGCTTCATTTGAAGGGACAGGAGGAAAAAGATGGCGTTAAGAGCAGGGGAGGGAAGGGGAGAGAGTAACAGAGGTTGAAATGGACAGTAGATGTCTTCCAAAAATGAGTCGGTTATCCAGGTAGGGAAATGCAACATGGAGACCACTTCCCATCCACCAGGCTGACTATCAGAATAAAAATGATGCTGCAAAGACGCTGGCGGGGCTCCAGTCCTGCCGCATTGGGAGTGGGGACGTAAGAGAGCACAACTACCCTGGAAAGCAGGCAATCCCTCCGAAACCTGGAGCCGGGAGATGGCGCACGGAGAGGAGCTGAGGAAGGCCTGAGTGGAGACCCAGCTGACTCCCCAAAGTTGTGCTCGCCTGTCACTCACATGTGTGCACACCCACACGTACATTAATAAACAAAATGTAAATCCGGTTTGTGAAAGCTAAACACAGGGCTTGGGGTGTAGTTCAGCGATAGGGTGTTGCCTACCAAGTGCAAGGCCCTAGGTTCTACCCCCAGCAACAGACACACACTCACACACACACCCATCACTACCACCAACAACCACCCCACCTGCCAAAAATGAAGAAGAGAGAAGAAGTAATCACACGAGTCAGGAATTCCACCTCTGGTATTGAAACCAGGGACCTGACCAAGTGCGTATCTGTGCGTGTTCTCATAACATCTTTACACATAAGAGTGAAAAGGTAGACGGAGCCCAAAAGCCCAACAACGGGTGACTAGATAAACACATTGTGGTCTGTCTATCAGCTGGAATATTATTCACTTCCAGAAAAGAGATGGAATTCTGATACATGTTATCATGTTGACAAACCTAAAAAAAAAAAAAAGCTAAGATCGGTAAAAGAGACATATACACATGGCATTATATTGTCTTTCTATTATGGTAACAAGATGCAACCAACCAATTAGAGGGAAAGAGTTATCTTAAGTTATGATCGTGGAGGCTTCAGTCTCCCGGCTTTACTGATTTGGGCTTGTGGGAATCAGCACACCATGGCCAGAATCTCCATGAATTCCAGGAAGCAGAGGCCAACAGAAACAGGCCTGGATGCCCACAGCCCTTTCCAGGCGCATTCTCAGTGATCTAACCTCCTTTCACTATTTCACCTTCTAAAGTAGTGGCTCTCAAACTGACGCGGGTGTCACCCACATGAATGTCGCCCATCAGATAGTTACATTACAATTCAGTAGAAAATAACCCTGGTGAAGTGGCAATGAAAATGTTTTATGGTTGGGGGCCACCACGTGAGGGACTGTATTAAAGAGATGCAGCCTTAGCAAGGTTGAGAACCATTCTTATAGAAACAAACGAGGGCTGAAGTGATGGCCCAGGAGTTAAGAACATGCACCTCCTACAGAGGACCAGAGTTCAGTTATCAGGCAGCTCACAACTATCAGTAACTCTAGCTTCAGGGGATGCAATTCTCCTGGCTGTCCTCTGAGGGCACACATGGTCTTGTGCATGCCTGTGTAAACAGTAACAACTGTTGGGGAGGGGAGATTCTCTGGGTAACTAGGCTGCCTATCAGTTGAGCAGGAAGCTCCAGGCATCATGCTTTCATGCTCATCCTCCAGGCTGGGGTGACTTCTCTGCGATGCCTTTGAGGAACCCATGCTTCTGTAAGAAACCTCAATAAACTCAACTTCACCATGCTAGACTTGAGTAAAATTGTTCCTTTGCTCCATTCTGTGTCTTCTGTCTTCCAACTGAGCTATACCCCCAACCTCCCATTCAATAAACTTTACTAACAAGCCTTTATGTATCCTTTATCCACCTACCCATAGCTCGCCACCCTGAGAGACTCTCCTTTGTCACTTTAAGAATATTATTCTTGGGACTGAAGAGATAGCCCAGTGGTTGAGAGCATTGGCTGCTCTTCTAGAGGACCTGGGGTTCAATTCCCAGCACCCATATGGCAGCTCACACCTGTCTGTAACTCCAGTTTCAGGAGATCTGATGCCAATGCACATAAAGTTAAATAAATGGTTTTTTTTTTAAATACTATTCTTAGCTGGGCAGTGGTGGCGCATGCTTTTAATCCCAGCACTTGGGAGGCAGAGGCAGGTGGATCTCTGTGAGTTCAAGGACAGCCTGGTCTACAAGAGCTAGTTTCCAGGACAGGCTCCAAAGCTACAGAGAAACCCTGTCTCGAAAAACCATAAATAAATAAAAATAAATAAATAAATACTGTTCTTGCCAGGGCCGTGGTGGGGAGTGCCTTTAATACCAGCACTTGGGAGGCAGAGGCAATTGAATCTCAGTGAGTTCCAGGCCAGCCTGGTCTAAAAAGTGAGTTCCAGGACAGCCAGGACTGTTACACAGAGAAACCCTGTCTTGGAGGCGGAGTACTGTTCTGGGGGCTGTGAATGTGGCTTAGTCAATAGGTGGGACATGTGTTTGGCAATCACAAAAGCTTGATTACATCCCCAGTTCTGCACAAACAGGACTTGGTGGCACATACCCGTCATCCCAAAGCTTTGGAGGTGGAGGCAGGAGAACCAGGAATCCAAAGTCAGTTTTGGTTACAAATTCAGTTGGAGGACAGCCTGGATTGCATAAGATCCTGTTTAGTTTAGTAACAAACACTCAAAATACCTGTCATCCCCTCCTGGCCCCCTCCCTCCCCCCAAAAGCCCAGTTTGTTAAACTGAATCCTCCATTGCCATCTCCAAGTGGATATGGATCAAACACCTTTAAGCTACCAAACTTTATCCTTCTTGGAAGAGAGAACTTTGTACATTTTATTGTTTACACACACACACACACACACACACACACACACACACACACACACCGCATGCCAAAGTCTAACTGTGGAGGCCAGAGGACAGCTTGCTGGGAGTCAGTTTTTCCCTTCCATCGTGTTAGTGTCTCTACCCATTAGACCACCCTGCTGGCCCTATGTAGGCGTTTTCTTTCCGGGTTTTGTTGTTTGTTTTTTTTTGAGACAGGGTCTACATACCCCTGGCTATCTTGGAGCTCCTTATGAAGATCTGGCTGGCCTAGAACTCACTGAGATACTCTGCCTCCTGGTGCACTAAAGGCGCGGGTCACCATGCCCGGCTCATTTTCTTCTAAAGGCACCTTGTAGCCCGCTAACGTCTAGAAGGCCTTGAGCCACATGCTGGTCCTTCCAACACTTGGGAGACTGAGTCAGGAATTTAAGGCCAGCCTGAGTATGTGGTGAGTTTGTGTTTGAGGATAGTCTGAGCCACATGAGGTTCTAAAAAAAAAAAGAAAAATCAAGAACCGAACAACCAAACAATCTGATCACTCCTCAAAGAAAATGAAAATTAAGATGCCTTGTGAGAGTACACTGGTCACACAAGCTCACTATAGACAAGCTGATAAAGCAGGCCCCAAGTGCAGCCCACTGTTAAGGAGAAACCCCGTTTGTGTGGGTCTGACAGATGCTTTTGCTTGGATTTTCTTTTCTAATTGTGGACAATTTTGAAACACTTTGCTTGCGGGCGTTGCCTAAGAAGCCGTGGAGAGGATTGCAACAGGCTTGGAAGATCATTCTGGGTGTCCAGGGGCAGGGAGTACACACGTAGCAGCAATACATTTGCACCCAGGGTTCAGGTTAGCACGCCTACACCGCGCCGGGACTGGGACAAAGGGCCGCAGCTGCGCCTGCGCCAGCCTGCAACCCTTTCCGGAAGGAGTTTTGCCCCCGCCCAGGGTGACATCACGATCGAGTTGCCATGGCGCTGCTGAACAGTCTGGCTTCCTCGCTGGAGTCCCACAGGGGCCGGGACCGCCTGGTGAGAGGAGGTTGGGTCCGCCCAGCGCCGGAGAGATCTGGAGTTTGGTCAGAACTCAGAGATGGGGAAACTGAGGCCATAGAGGGGTTTCTAAAGGGACCGGTATGGGTACAAGACACCACACAACCAAGTTCTCAGCACAAAGATTTGCCCCAGGAGGACAAAGGGCAGGGAATAAGAGACAAAGACAGGACAGAGTACAAGGGAGAAGGGGAAGGGAACAGAAAGTTACTTGTCCTGGGGGAACAAAGGACTGGATAGAGAGGAGACGGACGTGACCCATTGGCAAATTGCAGTTTATAAGGGTAAAGGGGGAAACCCCGCGTTAGGATGAGACATTTAGTTTTGATTGAGCATGTTAATTAGGGTAGCCAAAGAGGGCTTTAGATTGCTGGACTTCAGTACTTTGGCAGCAGGACCTTGCTAGTCAGCCTCAGGAGAAGCGGCCACATAAGGGACTAGACCTTGGGGGTTAGCTTTAGGAAGATAATCCAGTGATTTTTCCGCGAGGCAGAGGTTTCCCGAATAGTGCCTTGCCCTCAGGTTCCTGTCCCTCTGGATCTCCAATTAATCACAAACACTGTCATCTAGTGTTGGACATTTGGGGTCAAACCTGCCAACCCAGCCCTGCAGAATCAAATAATGACCAAGATCTCACCAGGCCACCAGTGTTCTTGGATTATTCTGAACAACCTCAGATGGGGGTTAGCACGTTACATTGTCCTGTAGCCGAACATTTAGGCGATGACAGAATCCCCTCCAGTTGGGCACTTGCATTATTTCAGCCAAATACGGCCAGACTTGCAGAACCTGGCCATGACGACTCTGAATTAAATCCACTGTTGCTGGTCATGTAGCTACAGCCATATGGATCAGATCCCTGCATTTGGACATCAGATCCCTGCATTTGTACCTGCCAGCCGCTATATATGTCTGAGTCCCGCAGACACCTCACATGGGGATTTTGAATGTTTCAAAGCTGGTGCTGCATCTATAATATTTTGCTAACAGTAAAATTCGCTCCACATGAGCATTGATCCACTTGGCCTTCTGAGGTTAGACGTAGCTTTCCTTACCAGTTCCTTATAGGCAGACATTACTGGTGGCTCCACATGTAAGTTCAACCCATTTTCTCCTAAGTTGGACATCCACATTACAGTGTTCACCATTAGAGTAAGGCCAAAAAGGAGTTATAATCAAAAACAACAGGAACAAGTCCTCACTGGAATTTACTGTGTGAACCAGGCTGGCATCTTACATGAGTTCCTCCCACCTCAGCCTCCCAAGTTGCTGAGATTACAGGTGTGCCACCACACACAGTTCGAGACCAGCAATTTCTGACAAGCAAATGAGATAATAGAGCTGGGTCTGTAGCCTGGTGCTTCCGTGGCATAGATGAAGCCTTGAGGTCCATCCTCAGCAC